ATATATATATATATATAGTTCAAGTAATGACCAGAGTCTATTATACGAGCCTCCAGCTGCCCCAAGTGTTCGATCCCATCGTGGCGCGGGAGCTCTGAAATTTTAGGCACATAGTGCAAGCTCTCATCATGGGGCCAAAAAATGCATGAGAAATTGATATTTGGGCTTATATATTAAAAAATTCAAACCTTATGATTTAAATTTGAAATATTAATTATATATATAGTTGTTTCATAACTGTTTAGCCCTCATAGATTGATTTAATTGTATATGGATTGTACATCGAGCAATGTAAATAGTATCAAACAATTGGGGAACTTACATGCCACACACTTCTTTTTTTTTACAAATCTAGAACCTAAAATTTGATTTTTATATTTATAATACTTTTGTGTCATAAAACAATGCATGACAATATGTATTTCACTATTTAAATTTTTAAATAGTGATATTTTTTATGTAATATCAAGGATTTGAGTGTCATCCATCCAAATATGAAGTTTAATATATTTTTGAAGTGATATTAAAGATTTGAGTGATTTAGCCTCTAAACTTTTCATATTTAAATGCATATTTGGATGCATTTCATCAGTGAATCTGTGTGCTTAGGCATTCCAACGGAGATCCGAACATAGCCTCTCAGTTCTTTGTTATTGTAGTACCTAAATTGACCAAAACATCTCAAACCCCTCTCCAGTACCTAAATTGACCAAAATCACAAAATTCCCAAAATTGCCAAAATTACCAAAATGCCCATCATGACCTAAAAATTCCAAAAGGTCCCAAAAATTCCAAAATCATCCCAAAAATTTCCAATTTCAAATTTTTATCCTTAATTTGACCCAATTTGACCAAATTAGTCAAATTTCATCAAAAGCTTTTGTGACCAAATACAACAATTAATTTGAGCTTAGCCCAAAGCTAGCCCAAGTTTGACCCCAATCTTGCCCAATTTCAACTCCAAATCAAAATTCAGCATCCCCTATCGTAATTTAAATAAAATTCAAGCCCAATTTGATAAAATATCAAACCTAATTTCATTCAAATGAAAAAGGCCCAATTTTGACTATATGCCCAAATCTACCAATTTGGCCTATCAATTCAACTCAAAATCATTTGAAATTTTGCCAAATCCTTCATGAAATTCTCCTACACCAAACTCAATGTTAAATTAGCCAAAATTTTAGTCCAAACTCAATTTTACCCAAACTCACCTACCATTTTAAAAGCCCAAGCCCACCACATCTAATTCCAAAGGCTCAGGTCCAAAGCCCATATGATAACCCTTCTCTTCATCATCCATTTAATCAAATATCACCTTCTAAGTCCTAAATTTAAAATGAAGGCATTCCAAATCAAGAATCAAGCCAAAATTCATAAAAATTCCAAATAAATCCAAAATCCCTTCTCATGAAAATTAGCCAAGCCACATGCAAGCAATGAAGCCACTCTCAAGCCATAGAAAAGCCATGAGAGCCTTGCCACATCATCAAGCTATTAATGGAAAGAAGACAAAAAAAAAAAAAAAGCCATATTTAAGCCTTTTTAAAAAGGTTTTTAACATACAGAGAAGGTAACCTACCTGCTAATTGGCTTGTCAGACAAGGAACCTTTGCCAACTCTATTTATGTTGATACCATACCTCCTACCCCCCCATTTAGCTGACCCATCTGGTCCTCTTCAGCCCAAGACCAACCTTTGTGCCCAAACCCAACTCAATTTGACCCAAAATAACCCTTTCCCCATACTATTTCAATTCAATGCCTTTACACATGGCCAACCAAAATTGACTTCACCAAACCCAAGTCCTGACCTCCCTGGACTGGATGGTGACCTGAGCCTGACCGGCCGACCACCTAGGCTGCAGGAAAAACCACCCCAAAGTGCTACACCATGGCTAAAACTCAAAATTAAACACATCCAACCACACCCAACCTGTCTCATCCCAATTATATTTTTGCACCTTGTTGGCATCCACATAAGCAACTTAGGACACCTGGTGGCCTCTCCTCCCCCCTCTATTTAAACCAGCCCTCCATGTCCAAAGGAGGAGAGCATAAAATTCCTTAGGGAGACTTTACCAAATTTCTTCCAAAGCTTCTTTAAGACCTCTTTAGTTCAACCCAACCATCCCTAGCCACTCAAATCCACAGCTTGAGCTCAATTTTGGAGCTTAAATTCATGGGCAAAAAAGGATACTCACCAAACCTCCACCAAATCTAAATTAATTGCACCCACACCATCCCCACAATGAGAGAGGAAGATCCCTCACAAAAGCCCCATCACCAGAGCATCCTATCATCACTGCCATATTTGCAAGATCTTCCTGTGAAATGGAAAGTTTAACATATGGACAAATATGCAAATTAATGAGTTTTGGAGTTTATTTGGTTGCTAGTTGATTTGGTTGCTTCTAAATAACAGGCACCTTCAACATTTTTCAAATTATCACATAATATCAATATTCAAGATAAAGAACCCAACCCATATTTAACATTTTTGTCGAACTCCTATTAGTTTAATCGCAAAACATGTAGTTGCATTGGTTTAATACTAGTTTAAGAAATCACCTGGGTGCTAGGTTTGTAAATAGCAATATTTCGAGTGCTAGGTATGTAATTATCGGTAAACATTATTACCAATTTTTTGTTGCTCGAAAGCCTTTTACGATGAAGATCTGTGACGAGTCATTGTCGCTAAAACTTCAAATTTGTACATTTAGATCCATACAATAATATAGTTAATTCAGTAGAATCCCTAAAGCGATTTACTCTGTTTTAGGGCTTTTAGAAGATGTTTAGGAAACAGATATAGTGGGTAGGTGGTTGTAAAATAACAAGGGAATGATAAAATGGGAGATCAATGGCGTTCGAAAGGAAATAGGGGCTGTTTGACGGTGTTCGACTAGAAAACAAGGCGATGAGAAAGTTTTGTCACTTGTTCTTCAACAAGTTACAGACATACCACTCACAAAAGGAAGAGTATATAATATTTCTTAGGGTAGAAATCAGAGATTAAAATATCAAAATTATACAAACCAAAGCTTAAAGCTCAGTCATGCAAAACAAGAAAATAATAAGCTATAATAGAATTCTCTAAAAATACTCCTAATACTAATTAAAAAATAAATAAATAAAGGACAGTGAAATAGCGGGAAAACCTCGCTTGTCTTGTGTGCAGGATTGTGGAAATCTAGTGGAACCTTTCTACCGGGATGGGATTCAATCCTGGTTCACCATCCCGCATTTGGGATTGATTCCATGACATGGATGGTGGGATTTCTGATCCCGCGATTTAACTAGCAAGGCGATCATCTGTAGTCCTAGGTGTTAGACAAAATTAAAGCAGCTCGTCCATCAATCTTTCAACTAGTCCAAACAACAATGACACTTGAGTTATCCATCACATATTGTTTTTGTGAACGAGGACACACTCTTAAGTCATAACATTTTCAATGACATGGTGATTCTCAAAGCAAGAATCTAAAAGATCAAGATAGTGTCAAAATCTCATAAACTTTATTAGCTAGGGTGGTATTCTCTACCTCCACATCCTAGAGAAATAGGGCAATGATAAACTAACTTGGGAAATTTACATACGTAGCACACAATTCAATTCTCATGTATTTATATGTGTCACACCTAAATTTCATATTTACACACATAGCATTTTGTTGTCGTAAACCTATGCATAAAAATGTGTATTTCAATTTTAAGAAGATGGTGGTGGTGATATTTTTGATGTGATGTGAAAGATTTGAGTGATATGCATGTAAATATGAATGTTTAGGTGTTGGGCATGTAAATACATAAAGACTTGTGTGGTATGTTTGTAAATGCCCTAAGAAACTTATACTTGATAAAAGCATCATTGATTGGAAATCTTTGTGTAGACAAAGATCCCATATGTGTCATTATCCGCAGTCTTATCAAGTGATAATAGATGCTATGAAGGTAGGCTTGTGAATTTTGTGATCATAATTTTGACACATTGCCTTGATTATTTGAGCCGTAAGACCCACGATGATAGCCACTGTATCCTGTTGCTCTCGTCCCACTAGAATGGGGCCCATACTCTTCCTCCTTAACTTCAATCTCAATCCCGAAGCATGGTCTCCATCCACATACATAAGTTTCTTGTGATTCTAGAAACTATGGAACCTATTCTCATATCACGTTAAATTATTTTTCTTCTTCCCATTCATACAATGCCCACATAAACAAAATTGGTTTGATGTGAAAAAATGGTTGTGTGTCAGCTAAGAAAAGGAAAACAAAGACCCAATTAAACAACACTTGTGACTTGAGGAGAGAATGAAATGAGGGGCAACTAGCTTTCTTAAGTGGCTCTGATACCAGAGGAAAACCCAAACCACAACTCAAAATTGCAACTATTATTACGGGATGCCCCAAGATTACAATGACAACTCTTCAACAGGAAATATCATAGCACAAAAATATAATAATCGACAACGAGGATTGGCAAAATTAAGGAAAAGACAATAACATAAAACAGAAACAACCCTCTATGACGAGTATGATAGGGTGAGGATGGAACAACAGCGTTGGCGGCCATGGGGAAAAAGTCGAGAGGGAAAGCCGGCGGATGCTGGGAGGAGTTGGACAGATGACTAGAAGGTTTTGGAGAAGACCAACAACCTGCTGGAAAGGAACCAGAGGGGGCAGTTGTTGAAAGGATTGGCCATGGAGCAGTTGGAGCTAGAAGGTGGCTGGCAACAGTGGAAGAGGGGGATGTGGAGGCTGGATTCTGAAATGATAGTAGAGAAACAAAAGTACGGTAAGATAAATGCCTTGTCGGGGTTGAGCTACAGCTGGAAAACTACTCGAACCATTCGAGATGGTCAAAACCTAGGACAAAGGACAACCAGAGCACTTCCCCGCCTTTGGATAACCCTTGAAGGGAAGAATGCTCACGACATTAACCTGAATTCAGAAATCTCTTAAATTCAAAAACTGAGAAACTCTAAGCATACCACTGACCAAAGTAAAATATGTTGAGATTTTTGTAACTCTTTTATACTATTTTTAATGATATTACACTTTAAAGGAAGGCTTTTTAATGATATTACACTTTAAAGGAAGGTTTTTTTGAC